CCCCCACCTCTATAGGTGGTGGGTAGTTCACTACACGAGTTTTCACAATTTTTAACTTTGATTTTACTAATATTTTCAACTTTAATACTATATTATGCGGATATTATGCGAAAAAAATGTCAGTTTCTTATTCAAAAAACTCTCTTAAATACTAGAAACTAGACAAAATTAGCGGGCAGCCATTTTGCATTTTGTAAAAATTGCTAAAAAATTCTACTTCCCATTTTGTTTTAATTTGCAGAAGCAAAAGCGGACCACTTTTTTGCCCACAAGCCCGTGCACACGACATAATATAATAACTAAAACACCAATCATGGCTATCCCAACCATATTTACCAAAGCATTTCTTCAAACCAAAAAGGAAAGAAAAACCCGGTTAATGTTTCTGATTTTACGCAGTATTATTAGGAATAATCCCCAATTTTTCCTTTTCTCTTCGCTTTTTGCGGTAATCGTGGCCTTAGTTAATTTTAATATTGGGGTTAATTTCAAAAACCAATTTGTTACTAGCGAAGGTGGTTCTTCCGCAGCTAACATTTTTGACCGCCACGATTACCAGTTCGAATTTATTTTTGCCCCTGGGGGGCTAAGAATCACCCAAGACAATTTAAGCATCTGAGGATTTATTGTTCGCACTATTCCCTTGCTAATTTTTGTTAAGTCAAGTCTTTCTTCGCTTCATTATTTTCTGATGTATTATTGTTACGATGGTATTGAACGCGACTTAAAAAAAGACTTGTTCCGCCAGTTTTTACGAGCTAATTACCCGCAAGGTTCTGTGGTTGCTCCGGGTTTAATTACCCAGTTTAGCAAAGATTTGGACACTATCGCCGAACATATTTGGTATATTCCTAACCGCTTAATTTTCATGTTGGTGGCTATTTCTTATCATTTGCTGTTTGATTTCAATTTTGGTAACAAAGACAAAAAAACCATTAATTGGGTTTTCTTGCTTATTTTGTTCCCCATTTTTGCTTTACTAATAACGGGACAATTACTTTTGTTCCCCCGAGCTGCCAAAATGGGATTAACCGCCAAAAAACGCACCGAAAAAGATAACGAAATGATTTTTGAGCGTATTAATAACTTAGAACACATTAAAGCCGTAGCCGGCGAAAATTACGAAGAAGAAAAAGTGGCCCGGTGTTTAGACACTACTTTTCGCCGTAATGTCAAAACCTTGTTATATACAACCGCCTTTCGGATAGTTCCTGAATATATTATAAGTCCTAACATTCCTATTGTTTTCATTTCAGCGGCTTTGTATGTTGGTCCTCTTTTTCTGAAAGAAGGCCGCAAAAATGAGGCTTTTGTAGCGGTGAATATTGCTCGTTATTATTTCACTACTCAAAAATTAAACTCTGAAGTTAACAAATTAACTTACAGTTTAAATAACTTGGAAGAACTAGCCAGTAGCTTGTTGATGGTGAAAAAGAGTGTTTCCGTTTTAAATCGTCCCGACCCATTGGCTTTGCCAGTCTCAGCAACTTACTTTTGGGAAAACGGTGATATCAGTTTTGACCAAGTAGTTTTTGCTTACCCGCAAAGGCCGCAACATACCATTTTACACAATTTTTCCTTCGTTTTCCAACAAGGAAAAAGTTATGGTATTGCGGGCAAAAACGGCATTGGTAAAAGCACCATTACTAAAACCTTTCTCAAACTTTATAACTTACAATCTGGCAAAATATTAGTCGGTGAACGCAATATTCAAGAAATAGACACCGAGAGTTTACGCCGCCATATTTGTTACCAAACTAATCATCTGGCTTATTTTCAGGCTTCTATTGCCGAAAATGTTTATCATCCCTATCAGTATGATAAAAAAGACCCAACTGTGTTGGAAAACTTAACTACGGCTGCCAAAAAAGCCGGGGTTTATGATTTCATTGCTAAGTTGCCAGCTGGATTTGATACCACACTAAAAGGAGGAAATGACTTGTCCGAAGGGCAAAAACAGTTAATTGCGACTATGAAAATTTTCCTGCGGGACTACGATGTTTATATCCTTGACGAAATACTAAGTAATGTGCACCCCGTTTTGAAAAAAACTATTTTGCGGAATATTTTCGAGCACATAAAAGGCAAAACAGTTATCGTTATTGACCACCATTACGAGATTTTTCAATACCTCGACCATGTTTACCAATTCACCGGCGAAAAATTACTCGTCAAGAAAAAACAAGATTTTTCTTAAAAGCAAAATAAGGAGTTTTTTTGGTAAAATATTTGCAGTTTTTTACAAAATTTTCCCACACCCGGAGGACCGATTAACAAAGGATTATTTTTAATCATGCGGGACAAAATAAATTTCTTCTTCTCGACCAATAATACTTAATTCCGTAATATTCTCTTTTTCCCCAAGCAAGTTTTATTTAGACAAAAAAAAGTAAAAATTAGTTTTTGGGCTAATTTTACCTTAAAAACAATGTTAAAACAATTTAAATAAAATGCCTAAAAAATATTACGAAATTCTGGGAGTAGCCGAAACGGCTTCGGAAGCAGAAATTAGAACGGCTTACCGCCAATTGAGTTTAAAGTATCATCCCGATAAAGTGGCTACTAGCGGATTGACAGTAAAACAGGCCACCGAAAAAATGCAAGAAATAAATGAGGCTTGCGAAGTGCTTATGAATCCAGAAAAAAGAGTTCATTACGATAGACGCGGTGATAACGAAAATGACGACACTAATGATACTAGTAGTAGCACTGATGGTTTATTTGATTTGAAGAATTTTAAAGAACTGGTTATTTATTTAATGACTTGCCACATTGGTCAAAACGGAATAAGTGATGAGGAATTAAAAAAAAGCGGGTTTGATTTTTACAATGAAGACATTAGAGACAAAAAAAGCCATCGAGAAGTTGCTGATTATATTTGGCTTTACCGGAATTGGGCCGAAAGCCAGGGTTACCGATATTTAGTGGTAAAAAACAACGTGCTTGACCTCGAAGTCCAACTTTTAGTGCCCCTTAGTTGATTAAGGTGAGCGAGAGAAGTGAAGTGAGGTCTCTTGTTAACTCCGTTGCTCCTCCTGGGCTGGCTAGGAATAAGCATCCACCGAAGAAAAAAAGCAAACAGGGAATTACGGCAACTAGGGGCTAGTGGTGATAATGATAAAATTTATTTTACTCGGGAAGAAAAAAAGCAACTCTGATATTATCACCAAGATTGATTCTTGATTAATTTATTGGGATATTTTTTTTTCGTGCCGCTCAGTGCTCTTATTGGTATAATTCTTTTGGTATTTATCGGAAAGTGGTTAGGGCTAATCAATCAGGTTGCTGCCTTCATAGCGGGAGCATGAGCATTCTTCTTCTTGGCTTTACCACTGATGGCTGTAATTCTTCTCGGGATAATAATTCGGCATTTAGTCAGGTGATTAAGATTTCGTAAAGAATACAAGGAGTTAGACAAAGTATTAGCGAAAGTTGGCGAGAGAGGAGCAAAAACTTGGCAACAACATACAATTTTACAACATTAATCAATTAAAAATAGTTAAAATAAGTTTTGCTGAAGCATGAAATTAATTAGAAATATATTGTTATGGGGACCAACGGGAGTGGGGAAATCGGCTTTGGCTAATGTTTTGACTAATATAATGATTTTCCCGAAGAAGAAGAAAATCCCCCCGGGCTGACTTCTCGGGTGCAAGTAGGAGAATTCACGGCGGATTTGCCTGATGAAAAAGGTAATGAAATAACTTATCGCGTAATTGATATCCCCGGAACCGACCACACCAGATTAACTTCCGAAGAAATTTTTGCGGAAATAAAAGAAGCGTTTCGGCAGTCAGAAACCTCTATCCACCAAATTTTTTTGGTGTGGGCTGACCGCAGTTCTAATCAGGAATGTGCTCGAGCCTATGAATTACTAAGGAAAATTGTTTTTGAAGCCGAGCTGGAGCAAGTTATTGAGAAGAATTGTGTTACCGTGGTAAGAACTAATTTTCCTAATTTTCGGGATAAAAGCAAGTGTGAAGAAGCTACTGAAAGAGTAAAAAGCGGGAGGGACCCTCATAATCTTTTTCTGGCATTCCGCAACCACGCGACTATCTATGTCAATAACATTTGCTCTGACGAGGAAGACGGCAAGGAAAGTCGAGAGAGAGCCCGAAAAAGACGAAAACACTCCCGAGAAATATTATTAGAACATTTGGCCAGTTGTCGTGATAACTATCCTCTCGACCAAGAAAAAATTGCGAAGAAAATTGCCGAACAAAAAAAGCTTCGGCAAACCGAAGAAGAAGAGAGAAGGGAAGAATGACAACCAAAGACTTCTATTTTTGCCTCCACAGAACACGAGACAGTTTTACGAAGCCCGTCTGAAATACAGGAAGGGTCAGAAGAAAACAACGATTTAGACTCGGAGCCGACAAACGAAGATTTGGAAGAAACCTCGGATAATGAAGAAGAAACCGAAAATTCGCCTCCGCCTCACTCCGACGGGAAGACATTTTGAAAGGGTGGGTTAGTAGTATTAGTGTTAATGATAATTATTAGCATAGTAGTAGTAGCCGCGTCTAGGAAAAAAAGTTGAAAGCAACGAATTTAGTCCAAACGGAATCCTGTAAAAACTTAGCGGAAGTGGTTTAGTTTTATCCCGCTTCTTAATTTTTAATTCTACATGCCGTTTAAGGGTGGAAAGAACCCTGGTGGGAATTTATCCTTGATTTTCTCAAATTCTTCTAAAATTGATTGAATATCTCCCCCGCCTCCTTTCTTGCTCTTTTTTTTGAAAAAAAAAGCTGCAAAAACCGAAAAAAATTTCATAATAAGTATCACACAACATACAACTCCTAAGCAAAAAGCCGCAATAATCATAAAAAAGAGTTGCCAAGCCCCAATTGTTATTTCTCCACTACTCATATTTTAACTTTATTAATTTTAATATACTCCTGGTTACCGTCTGTGTTTGAATTATATTTTAGTTTATC